CCTCGCTGACGCAACAGTAATAAAAAAAATCATTCCTATTTTTTTCGTGTAGTTATGGAAGAATGTTTCTATTTAAAATGTTTGTTTGTTTTTAGTTAAGCACAAAACTACACAATGGGCTATCTGTGCTGTGCCAATCACGTGTATCGAAACCCGGTTTTTTTCGGTATAAAGTCCATAGACTTATCACTGTGCTACTGGGGGGCATATTCGAAATTTGGACCATTGTAAAGAAACATTTGGAAAGTAACTTCGTAAAATTTTATCAACTTTTAAAAATAGCATTAGAAAAGAAATAATCACACACAAAGTTGATAAATTATAAATCACAGAATTTTACTTTTATCATAAAAAAGGTAAAACCAAAGAGTGATGAACACCTTTAACAATTCCGCTGATATTATCATTCTTTAAAAGCAGTGTTGGGTGTTAGCATTAGGATGTTTACATTAATATGGTACTGTTAACACACAACATTGCAGCTATGAAATATCATCCCATTTAACGTCTGTTAATATTAAATGTTAAAAAACGGGCATGCATGAAGTTGAAGTACTAATGTTTTTTTAGGAGCTAATTTTCAATTTTATTCAGGCTAATTAGCAATAATATAAAGGAATTCAAATTGAAAGGGTTAAACCAACAATACTAAAACGTGCATAGAACCTTTTACATGTAGATTTACATATAATATTGTCCGTTAGCTTGTAGATGATTCTTGTAGATAGTCGAACGGTAGTTACTATTAGCCCCCTAGTGGCTCAGCGGTAAGGCTTACAATCCGGCTTTCGATAACCGTGATGGGCACGGTACACATAGCCCATTGTGTAGCTTTGCGATTAACAAAACAAATAATTAATTCAAAATATAATAACAGCAACTTTTACAGTAGCCAAATTATTATTTTAATAATTACAACGTTTGAAACCGTAATAATTGAATTGTAACTCTTACCTAATGATGATTATCATTATAAATATCACTTGCTTACTGTAAAAGTTGCTGTTATTATATTTTTAATTAATTATTCAGTTCAGTAGGTTCTTCACTAAACAATAAACAAACAAGTGGTTCCTATTAAAATCTTTAATATTCTAATGTCCTTTTTTAATATTTATTATTGTGAAATGCATCTAAATAAAAATAAAGGGAGTGATTTTTGTAACTGTTTTGGTTCCTCTTAATCTTCTGAAAACTAATGCATAATTTGTTATTCTGACATGTTAAGTATCTGGAGCTAAGAAAATATAATTCGTTATCGTCATCTTTAAACTTTCTTACAATTAATTACTATTCATAGTTAGTAATAATTATTAATTGTTCGAAACATCGAAAGTTATATCAGGATGCCACCTTTGTGTCATTAAATAAACTCACATTAAAATAAAATGCAAATATCAATCATGTTAAAGGCTTAATTATATTTGTAATAAATCTAGAATGCGTAGATTTATGGTTATTTTTTTGTTCTTCTTTTCCCCAGGAGTATTCGCTACCAGTTCTGCTCTTGTGTGTCCTCCAAAGGTTCTTAAACCTAGTTAGGCCTTCGTCTTTGACTTTGCCTTTAGAAAACGAAAAATGGCTCCACCTCCAACAGAAGATCCCGATCCAAGTGAGTATCTGTTCGTCTCCCTCGAACAGAAACGTAAAGACCAGACTATGCCATATGATGGCAAGAAGATGGTCTGGGTCCCGGATGAGAAGGAGGGATTCATTATCGGAAATATAGTGAGCACGAAGGGCGATCAAGTGACAGTGGACTGTCCCGGTGGTGATGTAAGTCGATATTATTTTTGTAACGGGTTCTATTGTTGGGAAGGTTTTTGAATAATTCATGAAAAGCAATACACAGTCCAGTCCATTTAATGATAAAAGCATTTTAAGACTTCCACTACAAATTCAACACGTGAAATAGTGATAGGGCTCACTTCACAAATAACTTTCAACACGTTAAATAATGATGGGCCTCACTTCACAAATAACGTTCAACACGTGAAATAATGATAGGCCTCACTTCACAAATAACGTTCAACACGTTAAATAATGATAGGCCTCACTTCACAAATAACGTTCAACACGTGAAATAATGATAGGCCTCACTCACAAATAACGTTCAACACATTAAATAATGATAGGCTTCACTTCACAAATAACGTTCAACACGTTAAGTAATGATAGGCCTCACTTCACAAATAACGTTCAACACGTGAAATAATGATAGGCCTCATTTCACCAATAACACTAAATTAATTACTTATTTGCTAATTTTCTTATACCTTTCGTACGGTACTTCTTGTATCTATTTCTTCATTGAAGCATAAAATCTCAGTATTCACGAAATCGCAGAAACAGAACAACCAATCATAATAATAAAAAAAACCATTGTAACAGACCAATCAACTAAAAACTTAATAATCAATAAACCATTGTAACAAACTCAATCAAAACTCTCAATAACATATGTTGCTCAACTCACATTTTCATACAATCAAATTATTTCCTAAGTTTTCAAGACAATTCCAGACAACAGCCACGCCTTAATAACTTGACGTCAACAATCCCTCTGGCGAAACAATAATACAACGTCTAAATTTGGGAAGGATACATATATATATATATATATATATAACCTAAAACAGTATAAACACTCCTTGTTGTTTTATAGCTTTGTTTTTCGTTACTCTTCTACTGTTTTTGTTCCTCTGCCTTTTTTATTATGATTGTTGTTGGTTTCAAGGACTCTTAATGTGTTCTTTTGTTGAGTTATTTTAAATTATTAGATGGAAATAATACGAAATCCAGTCCATGTAACGATAACAAATTATTTTATTTCTTCCTTAATTAAAGTTTATCAGAGGCTACTGTCACTTGTATATAGCTGTAGGCCTAACTTCACAAATAACGTTTCACTGTCGGCAAAATTTACCTGGTAGTGACACTACCACTAACTTACAAATAAACTTACTTATACAGGTTTACGGCTAATGGATCGAGTAACTGAATACACGTGATAATTAACACTGTTCTCAATCACTCACCAAACTGAAACTGAATTCAATGCTTCATTGATTCTCGTATTAATAATGTATCCTTGTTTATAGATCATTCATAAAGAACATTCTGGGTATATAAGACAAATTCACGAACTTTCTAAATATAGCGTCTTAATCATATTAGCAGCTCCTCCAGCAAACATCTAAATTAAAACATTGAAAATATTGTTTACAACAAGTGTTTCTATCTTTAAAAAAGCGACTGATTGGTACAGATTCAAAGTACTTTGCTATGTTTGTTGGTTTCAAATTAAAAGTGGTCAACAAGTAAGGAATCACGTTTTTTTATTGTTTGTTACAAAGCACAAACTACACAATATGCTATTTGTGCTGTGACAAGTATCAAAATCCAATTTTTAGCCTTATAAGTTCTCAGAATTATCACTAAGTCAGCAGGTGGCAGTCAGGGATTGCCAACTGGAATAAAAATATCGTGCCAACCACGCGTACCGAAACTGGGTTTTAGCGTTATAAGTCTACTGACTTTCCGCTCATCTACAGGGGTAGGGAAATAACATTAATCAGTGTAATTAACGACTAGAACCGTAGATAGTTCAAACCTCTAACTTTCGTTTTTCAATTCTGATTAAGAAGTTAACACACATGATCACACACAAAAGTTGTAATGGTTTTCAAACGAGACCCAAAACTCGAGCTTTCGAATAGTTCGCTATTCTTCTTCAGGAGATTAAAAAAGTTTTTCAGCATACGATTTTACCAGATTATTGTTTTAAAATATTTAAAATGGTCTTAATTGTACTGTTTTATACATAGCTGATTATGATAATAACTCGAGTTGGACAAATTGTTTGTTGTGGTTAGTAGATCAAACAATTGTTTCGCAGTTCTTACAAATATTATTTTTTTCAATTGCATATATTACACTGCTGCCATCTATTTACCATTTATTGCATTTAACAAAATAGAATATCAGTAATATTTTAATAATTTCCCATCCTTATAGCGACACGTTACGGAAAACTGAATGTGCGATATAATGTACTTAGCTGGTACTCTTGAGTTATAAGATCAATGTTTGTTAAACACTCTTCTAACCAAAATGTTTTTATTTATCGACATGATTGCAGCGCGTGTTGAAGAAAGATCTACTGCAACAGGTCAATCCACCAAAGTTCGAAAAGACCGACGACATGTCCAACTTGACCTATCTGAACGACGCCAGTGTTTTACATAACCTCAAACAACGATATTACTCTAAGATGATTTATGTGAGTATTATTTAGTAAACTAATATTCTGAATTTATTCACGGATCTTGTTTTATCTGGTTTCTGTGCTAGCCGTCCCTAATGTAGAAGTCGTAGGCTACCACCTACCGCCAATTCTTGGGCTACTCTAATCGAAGAGTGGGTTTTATTACAACGGCCTTATGTCTGAATGATGGGATTCTAGCCTCCGACCCGCGGATTGCGAGTCGAGCATCCTAACCACCAGGCCACACCCGATCCCATTTAACATTGATATTAACCAGTTTATGGTTTTCAAGCACAACGTTTCCTTACCAAGTTTAGATTAAAATAGTTTGTAAGTTCGCCATATATAAAAGGGGCATTTGTACTTGAGGATTAGGTTTATTTGAATAGCCATAAAAGAATTGAATTACTAACGCTCATCAGGAGGAACATGTGACTAGTGTAACAAGAAATTATCCAATGTACTTGTCTCTTTACGACCTAACACTGATTTCTTGTTCTGTCCACAGACCTACTCTGGCTTGTTCTGTGTTGTGATCAATCCCTACAAGCGTTTCCCTATCTACACCAACCGAGTGGTCCAGATGTACAAGGGTAAGAGGAGGACTGAGATGCCCCCTCACTTGTTTGCTGTTTCTGATGGAGCTTACAATGACATGTTGCAGAGTAAGTTTATGTTTCTTGAACCACTTGTTTTAGTGTAAGTTTACGTTTCTTGAACGACTTGTTTTATTGTAAGTTTATGTTTCTTGAACCACTTGTTTTAGTGTAAGTTTACGTTTCTTGGACGACTTGTGTTAATGTAAGTTTATGTTTCTTGAACCACTTGTTTTATTGTAAGTTTATGTTTCGACTTGTGTTAATGTAAGTTTATGTTTCTTGAACCACTTGTTTTATTGTAAGTTTATGTTTCGACTTGTTTTATTGTAAGTTTATGTTTCTTGAACCATGTTTTAGTGTAAGATTAGGTTTCGACTTGTGTTAATGTAAGTTTATGTTTCTTGAACCATGTTTTAGTGTAAGTTTAGGTTTTGAACTTACAATGATATTTTACACAATACGTTTCTTCTTTATCGGGTTTACTACAAGTTGCAGTAAATTTTACTTTCTTGGATTATTTAAAAAGTTCCATGATGCACAGCAATGCTTGAGTTGTTTTATAAGGAACCAACAGTAATATTACACTTAAGAACAATATGAATAATCTACTAGGTTTAACTTTCACATCCGTATATTATATTCTTAAGTGTAATATTACTGTTGGTTCCAACTTTTGTTTGTTTGTTTTTTCAGACCGCGAGGATCAGTCCATGCTGATTACGTAAGTTTGATAATTTTGTGTAATTTTCAGCGAATGTGAAAAACAAATCATCATGTTTGAAATATGCACAGTTTTTTCCTCCATATAGTAGTAGTTACAAATGAAAACAGTGATCACTGCTTAGAGATGTTACGTTATCGTCGTCAACGTTACATCTCTAAGCACTGATTACTGATTTCATTAGTAACTATTAACATGTCCTACATAAGCCAAAGTACAATACATTAATTGACGTATTATTATATGTTATATTGAAACGATACTTATCTTACAGAAACTGATATATCTGTTAATCTTATTAAATGAGTAACACCTCTTTCTTAGAGAGGGAGAAAATATTGATATAGAAATCCTTATCTGAATCATCTCTTTTAAACATCTGCTTACAAACTTACCTAAAACCCTTTCCTGAAAACAACCCTTCAGATATATGAATGTCTCAATAAAACCACTTTATTGAAGTGTCTAACGTGTCCTATCCCATGTTACAAACATAAAAATTACAAACTTATCTAAAACCCTTTCCTGAAAACAACCCTTCAGATATATGAATGTCTTAATGAAACCACTTTATTGAAGTGTCCTATCCCATGTTACTTTATAAATTTGGTTTGTCCACTTCCCACTGAAACCTAGTCTGAAAGAGTTACATCAGTTTGAATGGTGTTTGACGTCTGGACAATCGTTGAAGTCCCGAAGTTTGGTTCTACCTCCCCTTACCCCTCCATATATCCTCGCCCTTCTCTGCCACTGAAATATTTACCATCTTAATACCAATATTTACCTTTCAAAAACAGTGGTGAGTCCGGTGCCGGTAAGACAGAAAACACCAAGAAAGTTATTGCGTACTTTGCAAACGTCGGTGCCAGCTCCAAAAAGGAGGATAAGGAGAGACTGTCTAAGAAGGTAATGCAACCTCTAGGGCTTTGGGGTTCCTGTTACCAATCCAGCCTGGTTCATCCCATGTACCTCAGCCCTCCTAACTTTCTGAAGAACAAAGAACTCTTCAGTAACACGTAACAAAACACGGGTTTCACTAATGATTTTGTGTTTTTAGAATTTTAAATCAAATTACTACCTCACAGTTCCAGTAAATTCGTCTTTTGACACCCTTGTTGTTTTACATCCATTTTATTTTTTGTTTTTGTTTGAAGTTAATGTAAGTACACAACACCAAATGCCATGTTTGCAATTAACAGTACTTTACTCGCTGACTAACCTAACAAATCCCCCAGTATTTATTGATTGTTTGTCAAACTGATGTATGTACCCCACTTTGTAATGGATGCTAGTCCTGCACCCACGTGCTTGTGTCCCGCTTTGCACCGATTGCTAGACTCGTAACCAGGTTTTCTGTTTTTTCGTGGTTGATAGTAGAGATATAATTAGTTTCCGTCTTTAATTAGCTGTGAAGAAAATCGACTAAAGTAATTATTTTTTCTGAAGGTTATCGTCTGCCACAGTAGTTTATTTAGTAGTTATCGTCTGCCACAGTAGTTTATTTAGTAGTTATCGTCTGCCGCAGTAGTTTATTTAGTAGTTATCGTCTGCCACAGTAGTTTATTTAGTAGTTATCGTCTGCCGCAGTAGTTTATTTAGTAGTAAAGTAATACTCTATGATTAAACAAACTTTTAAAGCCAAACATAAAGAATATAAAAATAGTAAACTGTCTTTCGGGTAATAACTAATTATTGCCTGAGTCTAAACGTCACACTATAATAACTAATTATTGCCTGAGTCTAAACGTCACACTAATATATGCATGGAACTTGAATTGTGGATCTGTGACATTAGCCGGTCTCTAAACATTATAGCTCATGCAAACATTCACGACAAAAATGTTTTTTAACGAATTAAAATTGACAATTTTAGCTTTAGTTGTTCGTATAAAGTTTGCAGTCATTTGTGTGTACTCGTCACTAGGTAACTACATGATTAATAGAAGATTAGTGCTTGAACAGTGTCCCATTACTCCATTTAAAGTCATTTGTGTGTACTCGTCACTAGGTAACTACATGATTAATAGAAGATTAGTGCTTGAACAGTGTCCCATTACTCCATTTAACCAGTCTCCACTACAGACAAGGTGTACTGTGGTGATTTGTAAAGTTTTATTGTTTTTCCCAATGTATATAGGGTAATTTAGAAGACCAAGTCGTCCAAACCAATCCTGTTCTGGAGGCTTTTGGTAACGCCAAAACTGTGCGTAACGATAACTCTTCACGATTCGTAAGTAATTACTTTTCTGACACTTTGCCAATAATTATATTGATTGATGTATCATGAATACATTATACAACAACTGTATACTTATCACTATAGGAGTAAAACAAAGTTTAACTGAAACAATACAACAATAAAACAAGGTTTAACTAAAATAGTACAACAATAAAACAAGGTTTAACTAAAATAGTACAACAATAAAACAAGGTTTAACTAAAATAATACAACAATAAACTTTAATTGTAGCTATACAAATCAGTAACACTAAATTAACAGTATAACAATAAACTTTGAATGCAACTATAAGAATTACTAACAATATACAGAACAACAATTAACGTTTAATGTATTTTCTAGAATGAACTGATTTTAAATCAACCTAATTTATCTTTTTTTTAATAATTTTATTATTTCGTACATTTAAAGTTCTTCAAAAGGTCTTATCTGTGTTAAGTTACATCTTTAGTTTATCCTCTCCTGTTTTTTTTTAACTCATGCTTTGTCATCTGGTGTTTTAGGGTAAATTCATTCGAATCCATTTTGGCGGGATGGGTAAACTGGCAGGTGCAGATATTGAAACATGTGAGTTAACCGAATTTATTTATCTATTTATTTTTTCAGTAGTTTTTAAAGGTAAGGTTTGTATTTGACCATCAAAGTTATCCAGGTAAATAAATTAAGATTTTCTTTTAATTCACGAGAATAATTTTGTTACAATCTACGAAATAATATTGTTGCGTCATCGAGGTCACGTGACTGGTGTGGCGCCCTCTAGTTTCTAGAACTATCTTGTTCTTT